TTATAGTTCCAGTAAAGAAGGAAGGTAAATTTAATAAAGATGATCAACCAATTTGTAAGATCTTAGGGACGTGAATACATTAGTTGTTCCATTAACTCCTGTAGTTCCTAACCCTGCAACTATTCTCCTTCTGACTTTGGTATTGTCTGCTGTTTTTCTCTGTATTTGAAATAGTTTTTTTGTTCCTTTTTATCCTTCTAGCACACGAGTCTAAAATCTTGTTTGTTTTTGATTGAGCCCACTATTTGTGCTAAAGGATTCCTCAAGGATTTTGAGTCCTGGTTGTGCAATGGTTAAGCACTCAGCTGCCATTCGAAACCTTGGCAGTTTGAATCCATCAGCTGCTCCACAGGAGAAAGATGTGGCACTCTGTTTCCATAAAGATTTACAGCCTTGGAAACCCTATGAGGGCAGTTCTACTCTGTCCTATAGGGACGTTATGAGTGGAAATCGACTCAATGGCAATCAGTTTCGTTTTTTGTACTATTTTCTCTGGTCATTTACAGGAAAACCTAGAGGAAACTGTCTCACCAGAGTGATGTCTAATTATTTGGTAGCCACACAAACTAAAGAGCACTGTAAGATTCATGATTGTCTTTATTACAATTCCTTGCTTCACAGGGGCATGAAGCAGAATCAGAATCAAATTGCAATATTGTCAAACTGAGGTATAATATTGAAGGCATCTGTTAAATGAAAGCTACAAAATATTACAGTCTAGGAGTCTTAGTCATGTAGTGCTGCTGTAACAGAAATACAAGTGGATGGCTTTAACAAAGAGAAATTTATTTTTTCACAGTCTACTAGGCTAGAAGTCCAAATTCAGGGCAACAGCTCCAGGGGAAGTCTTTCTCCCTCTGTCAGCTCTAGAGGGAGGTCCTTCTTACCAGTTTTCCCTTGGTCTGGGAGCTTCTCAGTACAGGAACCTCGGGTCCAAAGTACACGCTCTGCTCCAGGCGCTGCTTTCTTCGTGGTATGAGGTCCCCGTCTCTCTGCTCGCTTCTTTTACATCTCAAAAGAGATTGGCTCAAGACACAATCCAATCATGTAGATTGAGTCCTGCCTCATTAATATAACTGCTGCCTATCCCACCTCATTAACATCAGAGGTAGGATTTACGACACATAGGAAAGTCACAGCAGATGACAAAATGGTGGATAATCACACAATACTGGGAATCATGGCCTAGCCAAATTGATACACGGATTTTTTGGGGGACTCAATTCAATCCATGAGAATCAGTCCATTTTGCAGATCAAAGAGCCTATTCCTGCTCATACTGCAGATTTGATATTTATTGATGGTTTATGTACTCAGGATAAAAATAGCCACTTAAGGCTTCCTATGCTGTGGTGACATTATGAAAATTTGGAAGCTTATTTTGTCTGGAATTAAGTGTGCCAGAGCAGACAAGTTACTGGCAGTTACTACAGTTGCAATTTTTGGTTCTGGACTTAAAGGAAATGTATGTGTATATATATGCACACACACACATATATGGCTAACAAAAAGGTCAGCAGTTAAAATCTACCAGCTGCTCCTTGGAAACCCTATGGGGCAGTTCTGCTCTGTCCTATACAGTTGCTATGAGTCAAAATCGACTTAAGGGCATTAGGTTTGTTTGTTTTTTTGGTTATATATATGTATCTATTTGTTGAATGAGAGAAAAAAACTCCAATTGTCCATTTCCTTTTGTGGAGAACATGTTTGGGAATGAACAAAACTTTCCTGTTGTACTGAAAGTGGGCTTCTAAGTTTGCAGTCTGGCATGGCTTAACAGTGGCCTTTGCAGCTCTGTCAGCGATATCATTGTCTTTAGAAATTTTGCCATTCTGCCTTGTGTGAGCTGTGAATTTACTGATATCTGAGTAGGCACTTGTAAAGCCTCTGGAAAAGCAGCTATCAGTATTCCAGGAGATATTCTAGTTCCCAATGAAGTCAAGAATCCCCCATTTTTTCCAAAATTGCCTTGTTGCATGACAGACACCAAACACTTATTTACTGTCCCAAAACTAAGTAGCTGCTGCTAAGGTTTGCATAATAGTCTGTGTATTATGGATTGAAATGTGTCTCCCCAAAATATGCCCAGAATTCCTAACCCCTATACCTGTGGATCTAATTCTATTTGGAAATAGGGTTTTCATTGTTATGTTAATGAGGCCATATCAGTGTAGAATCTTATTTCTAATCACTTTTGAGATATAAAAGGAGCAGACTAAGTACAGAGACAAGCAAGCACAAATAGGGGAAAGATAGATGCCACATGGCGATCTCCAAGGAACTGAGGAATGTTGGGCTAGAGAAGCTGAGACGAGGATTTTCCCACAGAGTGGACAGAGAGCATTCCCCTAAGGCTGGTGCCCTGAATTGGGACTTCTAGCCTCCTAAACTCAGAAAATAAGTTTCAGTTTTTTAAAACCACCCACTTACAGTATTTTTGTTATAGTAGCATGAAGAAACTAAGACATTGTCCTTGCCATCTTACTGCTTTTTCCTTGAGTTTGGACAGCTGGCAAGAGAGCCAAGGCAAAGTGCCTAGGGCCAGAGGGAGATTTTGATGTGCTGTTTGATCCATGACTATAAAGCCTCATCAAACCACTGATGGAATTCAATGGGGGACACACCCATTTTATGGTAGTTCTCAGTACAACTGCACTCCATAGTTGTCATGGATTGAATTATGTCCCCCCCCCCAAAATGTATCAGTTTGGCTAGACCATAATTCTAGGTATGCTGTGATTTCCCTGTATGTTCTAAATCCTGCCTCTATGCTGTTAATGAGGGAGGATGAGTGGTAGTTGTGTTAGTAAGGCAGGACTCAATGTACAAGATTGGATTGTGTCCTCAGGCAATCTCTTGAGTTATAAAGAAGTAAGCTGAGAGACAGGGGGACCTCATACCACCAAGAAAGCAGTGCCGGGAGCAGAGTGTGTCCTTTGGACCTGGGGTCTCTGCATGGAGAAGCTCCTAGTCTGGGGGGAGATTGATAGAAGGCCAACAGAAAGACTTCCCCTGGAGTCGACACCCTGAATTTGGACTTTTAGCCTACTTTCTGTGAAGAAACAAATTTCTCTCTGTTAAAGCCATCCACTTGTAGTATTTGTGTTATAGCAGCACTAGATCACTAGGACAATAGGGTTTTCAAGGCTGTGAACTTTTGCAGATTGCCAGCCCTTACTTCTGAGGCACCTCTGGGTGGATTTGAACTGCCAATCTTTTGTAGTCCGGAATTTAACTATTTGCACCAATTTGTCTTATTTGTTCACCATCTCTAGTCATAAGGGCAAACATTTGACTTTCGGTCCTTTTACACCTAGAGATGGAGCTCCAGGCACTTGGGGGATGTTCAAATATTAGGACTAAGAAAGCTTGGTCCACTCTAGGTCTTGGTTTGCATCCTGATCTAGTTGTCACTTGCTGGCTTGGAAACCTCTAGGACTTAATTTCCTTATGAGACAACAGAAGTATTATGTATACTTCTTTTATGCTCTCAAACCATATATGCATAAGTCACTCAATGTGTATTTAGATAAACAGATGTTGTAAATAGCCTAAGATGGCCTTGCACCAGCATGCTGTGATAAAAGAAAATGTAACATACTATATAGCTAAATTGTAAACAATCTCCCTAATCTCTTGCTTTGAAGATTCAACAGATTAGTGTTTGCTGAACATTACACCACCTGGTCCTTATTGTGTGACTCCAGATAAGAAAAACCTATATGAATCCTGGACGTGAGGCTACAGGAGAAAAGACAGAGGCAGAAATCTCTCTCAGTAGACTGAGACCAAATTAGAAACAAAGACAAGACTTTGCCTGTAGCTGCTGACCTGGGACCCCAGCTACAAGGGACCTCTGCTGAGCATGAGCTGTGGTCAACCCTCCCTCACAAGACCACTCATTAAAGCTAAATGCCTGAAATCTAAAGATTTGGACTCCAATGATTGGACTTTTTATTGTCCTCATTCTCTGGTCCTAAATGAATGTCTTATGGTCTTACCTGTGTGCCTTGCTGTGACTACTTTGCAAAAATTAGCTTATCCATGCTAAACTTGAGCATTTCTTTTAAAATAAAATCCTACAAGTAGTATCTCCCTTATAGACTACTGTTAATGGTAACTGAGTTAATTCATGTAAAACACTGCCCGATACACGTTGTTAGTTGACATCAAGTTGGCTGACTCATGGTGACCATTTTTATAACAAAATAAAATGTTGCAGTCCTGTGACATATTCATAATTGTTATGCTTGAGTCCATTTTTGTGGTTATTGTGTCACTACATTTCATTCAGGATTTCCCTTTTTGCTGACCCACTACCAAACATGATGTTCTTTCATAGCAACTAGTTCTTACTGATAGCAAAATTTTCCACCATAAGGGAAAGAGAAAAGCAGTCCTGTGTGGTGAAATATTACTTTATACCCAGAATTTCCTGAATGATTGGAATGTCTCTGATGTTTAGAGGATGCCAGAGCACATCATATGGCATATGCTAAAGAGGTGATTCAGGGTGTGAGGCTCTAAAGACCCAACATGTGATATCAGTACTACCTCTACCTGAACTCCAGAAAGGGGACTCGGCTGGAGTTAAAACTTATGACCAGTGATTCAATCATGCCTACATAATGTAACTCTAATAAATAAACTCTCGACACTGAAGTTCAGGTGAACTTCCTGGTTGGTGACAGATGTATGCATAGGAGGTGGGAAAGAGTAAGGCATGCTTGGAACATGGGAACTCAGCATTTGACCCTGCCAAACCTCACCATGTGTGGCTCTGTTTTATGCTGGTCCTGATTTGTATCCTTTTTGCTATTATTAAAACTAAGTAGAGCACCTCCTTAATTCTGCTTCATTCTAGCAAATTATTGAATGCAGTGGGGGCGGGGGGGAAGAGGGGGAGTGGTGGGGACAACCGAATTTTAGCCAGTTAGTCGGAAGTCTGGGTGATTCCAGGAGCCCCCAAATTTTTGGTTGGTGTCTGCGATCTTGGGCACGCTTGGCATTCTAGAGCTGTGTCCATTCACTGGTTAGATCAGACCTTGCTCTGGTTGGTTAGAGTCAAAATAGTTGCATTTGCAGTTGTTGTCAGAGAAGATATTTAGAGTTGGCATGAGAAACAGACAGGCACAAGGCAGACACTTTAAGCTCCTACAATGAGGGGGAACAAGTTGGGCACCAAGACCTTAGCTTTGGCATTACTAGAAGCTGGTTTATTACTGACAGAAAACGAAAATAAAAACTCACACTTCAACCACTGTCCTGGTTATCACTTTATTGCTTCTGCTGCAGACATCTCGTTTTTGCCTGTGTGTGATAATGGACATGGGCCTTACATTTCTCCTTTGCCAGTAATCAATGTATGGAGAACAATGAAAGACATTGCAGGAAGAAGGGACTTTCATTTCCAGTTCCACTGTGATCACCTGCCAGGCTCCTGTAGAGGGCAGTGAGTCCCAAACTTGCTCTGTGTGGGTTGTTCAGTGCAGGATTCCTACAGGTGCAGCATTCTGACACTGCAAGGTTTCTCCAGCTTTCAATTTGAGCAGTAGTGACATAGCCTGAGTTACATACAATTGGGCCTGTGGACTAATCCAGCTGCTACATCCCACATGCTATCCTCACCTGTCAGATGAGCTGCCAACCCAAATCTCTCCCCTGAAGCCAAAGAAAAATATGCTGTATTGCTCTAGAAAACAGCCTCTCCACATGCCAGCTGCAACTGGAACTATACATTCCTGGTGTAATATAGGAAACCCTGGTGGCGTAGTGGTTAAGAGCTATCTCTGCTAACTGAAACGTCAGCAGTTCCAATCCACCAGGTGCGCCTTGGAAACCCTATGAGGCAGTTCTACTCTGTCCCATAGGGTCGCTATGAGTCAGAATCAACTTGACAGCAATGGGTTTTTTTTTTGGCTTTGGTGGAATATAAAACGGCACAGCCCCTTTGAGAAACAGATTGGAAGTTTCTTATAAAGGTAATCATACACCCACCATGACACAGCAATCCCACTCACAGGGATATAGATGAGAAAAAATGGAACCTTATGTTCACCTAAAACCCTGTGCATGTTTAGTTTTATTTAAAAAAGCAAAAACAGGAAACTAAAATATTCTTATCCTGATGAATACGCAAACTGTGGTTTGTATATACGATGACATACTATGGAGCAATAAAAAGGCACAAACTATTGATACATTCATCATCATGAATGAATCTCAAATTCATTACACTAAATGACAAGATCCAGAATCTGGAAACTACTAATAGCATGACATGTATAGAGACAGGTGCCAGGGATTCATGACAAAAAAGTGGCAACACTAGGGAATTTTTTGGAGGAAAGAGAAGAGCTGTTAAGTATTTTCACTGTGGTACTGGGTATATAACTTGATATATTTGTCAAAACTCATACCACTGTTCAATTCAAAAGCAAATTAATATTTTTGAATTAAAAAACTGTAAAACAACGGCTGCAGAGAAGTTTCAAGATAGGGAGAAGCAAAAAGAGTAATCACTTAATCTCACCTTTGGGGCAGATCTCTACAAGCTGATTTCTGTACATATTAATTTTTAAAAAATCTGTCATCAGACGTACACACTATTTTATACCCCGTGTATTAAACATTAAGCTATGATTGCTTCTCCTGTTGAGTAAATTTTCCTGAAATCATTTAGGGGCAGTACAATACTGGGACATGTAGCCAGACATTTATCTAAAAACTCCCTTACTGTAGGACACTGATACCATTTCCCCTCTTTCACTATTTCCACAATCTAGCACTATTATCAAGGTACACCATTACAATGCCCAAGGTTTTCCACAGGATGATTCTGAAAGGGGAATTGCTGGGCCAATGGGAGGCCTAATTTGAAGGCTTTTGCTACCTACAGCCATTTCCCAAGCCCCTTACATGAGAAGTCATGAAAGGTCCCAGTGCACCGTGGGGCAGAGGAGGTCTGTAGAAACCTCCAGGCCCTGTAGCAAATGCACATCTCAGGTAGAGCAGCAGCCACAAGTGCAGCCAACAACTGCAGCCTCAAGTCTTGGCCTACTGCAGTCTCCTGGAACCACAAAATTACCAAAAGCAAGAATGTTTCAAAATGCAGATTCTGTGCCTGTGCTGGACAGAAGCTCCACTGCATCTAGGTCAGGTTTTGAGTCTGTGCAGGCCCACCATCTCTATGTATCCTCAATGTGAGCCCTCCTTCAACAAAAATCCTGCTCACAAACCATTTGAGAGGGATAATTTTGTGAAATGGTGGGATGTGGGTTAAAATTTTCTGTGCAGTTTCCTCATTAGTAAACCTGGGATTATAATAGTTGTGGAGGATAAATAAAAGCAATGAGAAAAATATTCGGTACAGCAGTGCACACACTGTATAATCCAGATTCTTCAAGAAAGAACTGCTTTGCAGACAAAGAAGGCTAAAGGAAAATACTCAAAATAATGATGGTGGAATTCTAAGTGATTTTTGGTTCTCCTTAAAATGTTCTGTTAAAATATTTCTACATTGAGAACATATTGCTTTATAATATGAAAAAATACAAGAACTTTAAAAACATAGTTGATAAAAAATACCATACAAAAATTTAAGACACCAAGGTGTGATGAGACTTTGTAATAAAGACAATTTTTACATAAAGAACCAAAATAACATTTTGATACTTATCCAAAGTCATATGCTACATCTGAAGAAGTACGCTTACAGTTGCAGAGTCTCTCCAGTGTGTGAGGTATCATAGAGATCCAGAGGAAGGACAAACACTGAAGGCTTCCCTTGTCGTTTACATTCATAGGATGTGTCAGATGTGTAATATATATATTGTTTCTATCCACTGTACCTCCTCACGTTTTCAAATGGCAGAGCTAACTAAAGATGTTCCCTCATTCCTTAAATTCATAAGGCCTCTCTCCACTGTGGGTTCTTATATGTCTAGTGAGGGCTGAGGGCCAACTAAAGGCTTTCCTACATTCTTTACATTTATAAGGCCCATCTCCATTGTGAGTTCGTATATGTTTAGTGAGGGATGAAGAAGAAATAAAGACTTTCCCACATTCCTTACATTCATAAGGCCTCTCCCCACTGTGAGTTCTTACATGTTTAGTGAGGGATGAGGACTGGCTAAAGGCTTTCCCACATTCCTTACATTCATAAGGCCGCTCTCCACTGTGAGTTCTTATATGTGTAGTGAGGGCTGAGGGCCAACTAAAGGCTTTCCCACATTCTTTACATTCATAAGGCCTCTCTCCTCTGTGAGTTCTTATATGGAAAGTGAGGTGTGAGGACCGGTTAAAGGCCTTCCCACATTCCTTACATTCATAAGGCCTCTCTCCACTGTGAGTTTTTATATGTCTATTGAGGGGTGAGATATCACAGAATGACTTCCCACATTGCTTACATTCATAAGGCTTCTCTCCACTGTGAATTCTCATATGTGTAGTGAAGGATGAGGAATAAAAAAATGCTTTCCCACATTCCTTACATCTATAAGGCCTCTCTCCACTGTGAGTTCTTGTATGTGTATTAAGGCTTGAGGACCTAGTAAATGCTTTCCCACATTCCTTACATTTATAAGGCCTGTCTCCACTGTGAGTCCTTATATGTTTCCTGAGAGATGAGGAACAACTAAATACTTTCCCACATTCCTTACATTCACAAGTCCTCTCGCGACTGTGAGTTCTTAAACGTTTACTGATAAATGAAGAACTAAAAGCTTTTCCACTTTGAGTTTTTTTATGTTTAACGAGGGCTGAGACATCACCAATGTCTTCTCTGAATTTCTTACATTTACAATACGGCTTCTCTCTACTGTGAGTTCTTGTATGTGTAATGAGAGATGAGGAACAACTACAGACTATCCCACATTCCTTACATTTATAAAGTTTCTCTCCAGTAAGAGTTTCCACATGAGTTCTTAGGTAAGAGGAACTAATGCAGGTTACTCCATATTCCTTACACTGATAGGTATTACACCCAGTGTGATAAGTGATGTGATGATTAAACAATGAATGATCCACGAAGGTTTCTTTACACCTATGGCATTCAGAAGAATATACTCTAGCAAGAGTTTTTTTGAGCCTGATAAGATTTGCAATCTGGCTGAAAGGTTTTCCACACTGATTATTTTCTTTAGTTTTCTTTATGTTACCTTCTTTACTTTCACAGATGATCTCTATTGTATGACTTCTGTTAAAGATAGACAGCATGGTATTAGAATTACATGTATCATTTTACAGTTACCAAAACAAAAAAAAAAACCTGTTGCTGTCGAGTTGATTCTGACTCATAGCAACCCTACAGGACAGAGTAGAACTGCCCCATAGGGTTTCCAAGGCTGTAATCTTCATGGAAGTAGACTGCCACATCTTTCTCCCACAGAATGGTTGGTGGGTTCAAACCACTGATCTTTTGGTTAGCAGCCGAGTGTTTAACCACTGCAGCACCAGGATTCCTTTACTGTGACATTACTGCTTAATAATGGCACTTTCTGATAATTGTGTACAAGTGAAATATGTTTCAAATACTCAATATCTGACTCATATTTATGGAACTATGTAGTTAAAGTTATGAAAACACACTATTAAGAGCTAGTTTCTCTCTCTCAGACGCATACAGACACACACATACACGTCATTTACTTAGACTCTCCTGAGGCAATATTCTCATGTGAATGATACTTACCTCACAGGGTTCCTCTGGTTGTTGTGCTGATCTTCAATGCCATGGAATTCACAGATCTCTCCTAACATGGAAGACCAGGAGTCATTCTTCATGAATTGCAGTATTATACGTTCATTATTACCCTGTTGAGAAACTGACCCAATAATTTTAAGTGGGGTGTCACAGTATGGAAGAAAAAAGTAAGGAAATTTAATGAGGAATAAGCCATCTGTGAATACAGAAAGACTTTGAGGCATTTGGGTGTTCCAGAATTTCTGGCAATGGTCAAAATAAGGAATTTACTAAGAAATAATTCCATGATAAGTGAGAGTGATGGTGACATAAATAGCATGTAATAAGGAGAAGAAAATATAAAGATTGTAAACAATGCATGCGAGCAAAGGTAATATGGAAAGATGAAATGGGGAAGGTCTTTTCCCATGAACCCAGAAAGTGTGAAAGGACTGATGAAAAATCAAAAAAGCAAGCTCAAGTATGTATGGAAATTCAGCCTCCTCAAATGAAAAGAAACTTTTTTGAGTTATTTACTCAAATATCATTCCATTCATGCAGGGCTTGTCTTTCAAAGGATTCTTGCTTTCTTGGTGCTCCCTGACACAGTGGCTCCAGGTAAGTCTTAACTCCACTTTTTCTAGATCTTTTTCCTGGGAGAACAAATAGGTGTGGCTGACTGGGTGCTCATGAGGAAAGGCAGATCAGGAGGGAAGACAGTAGACAGCAAGATTTTCCTGACACTGAGCCAATACTTTGGTCTCCAGAGTCTCTATAGATGGACAAATGTGAGTTTATTTGCAGCAAAATAATCACATCTAATTTGTAAAAAACACAGTAAAGCTCTAACAAGGTCCTATGCAACAAATCTCTGTGATACAAAGTAAACCCTGAAGCCAACTTACAATACTTAATGAGCTTCAAGGCTTTTAACCAGAAGAGAGATACAAAGTCAATTTAATACATAAATTTTGCTTTCAGGAGGAAGCCACTAGAGTCTAAGCTCCTTGATAGCAGCGAACATATCTGTCATATTTGCCAACGTATTCCCATTCCTCAGCACAAATCCTGGAAAAAGATTGATGAGTACAATATATTTAATCATTAAAGTAAAAAAAAAAAAACAAAAAAAAAAAAACAGAAGTCCACCTTACCGATTGAGGCCAGGTTCCTGAAGGTTTCCATCATCACATCTCTGTACAGTTTCCTCTGAGCAAAATCCAGCAAAGCCCACTCTTCCTGGGTAAAGTCCACAGCCAAATCCTCAAACACCACCGATTCCTAAAACATCCCACATATTCTGGATCAGCAAGGTACCACTTTCCCCAGTGTGTGCACAGGACAGGTGAGGCTGTCAGTTCAGGGGAATGGCGAATTCACAGGAAGGTTACACAAGGTTCTGTGTTCTAAAGTTTGGCCGCCAGCCTCTTCCCTTTGCTGTCTACATTTACATCCTGACTCTTGGTTTCCATCTTGTAGGTTTAACAGTATTTCTAATACACTGATCTTATCTCTCCACTGTGATCAATTCCAGTCTTATTCCTCTCCATCTCTATGGTCCAGAACAACCAGAACACCTAGCCAAAAGTAGAAAAATCCTCCACAAATGTAAAACCTATTTCTATATTCAGGTCATCATTTTCTTGTGGAAAAAACCAATTTCATCTCCTTCCATAAAACCCACCATAACATTCAACAAAACATGAAGCACAGAGTGAAAGCAGGATGAGATATTAATAATTAGGAAACACTGAGAGACTGGCAGCTTTTTCTTTTGCCCTTCACCTGCCGTGGGAGGTCCAGACGCCCACATAAAGAAACTAGCAACCTATGAGGTCTGAGCTGCTCATATTTTCTTGAAGAACCCACGTCATCAGGAAGTGACAGAAGCATCTGCCAAAATAGAGTCCTCTTTTTGAGAAATATAAATTTTTACATGTTTGCCACCTATTTTTTAATAATGCACTTGGCTGACATGCTTTCTGACCATTTCATGGAGAAAGGCAAGGGGATTGAGATGTTAAACAGAACTCAGCTAATAGAGAATGTGAGAATCTGTATCTTCACACAGTTCTAACTTCCTAGCCAATTATGACTGACTACTCCACTGAACAAAGATACACTCAGACTCACACACAAACACACTCTGATGTTTTAAGATGACAAAAAACCCTATTTCTACAAAGGCCACAATAGCAGGCCCTTGTATTTGCTGAGAATGAAGAATAGGTCAAGATTCCTATTTTGTAAGCACATTAACTGAAGACCAAAGGGAAGGGTTTAGCAGTTAATGTGCCCAGGAATCCTTGGAAACTTATACAACAGCCCTCTGGAGGCTTTTATTTCAAAAAGGCACACGAGTATGACAACTCAAACCCTGACCACTGGAACCTCCAAAGCTGTAGTGTCCACTCATGGACTAAACCCTTTGAAATAGCTTGACTGAACTGGTTCCAAATGCAGGGAAGAGAGATAAGACTGGTAAACGGCACTTCTCATGCTAATGCTGGACTCAACAGCAGAACAGCTATAGAAGAGGAAAGCTCCCCTTGTCAGGGCATCAGGTGAATTGAGCTGCCTAGGTCATGTCTAATCATTCCTCGTATGATGGTGTCAAAACAAACTTCCATCCTCAGGCAAAATTAAAGTCTCCTCCATTGCAGTGGAGCAGCTTATATATTAAAGCCATCAAAAATCATACGGTGAATGGGAAGGATGGGAGAAGGAAGATACATATATAATGCTTAACAGACAGTGAGCATCTGTCAAGGGTGACAGAAAAAATTCAAAGTTATCTGTGATGGCTGAACGTGTTGAACATAATTAATGTCATTGAATTGAACATGGGAAGATTACAGAAATGGCAAATATTTTGCTACCTATACGCTTACCAGAAAAAAAATTCTAACAGCCATGACTACAATGTATTAATGATAAAATGCTCAATTTACTGGCCAACTACAATGTGGGAAAAGTTTTGCAAAAGCGTTCGACGCACTAGCTCATTTATTTCTCATAATTATATTAAACACATTATTTGAAACAGTTCATAGCTGAAGAAACTTAAAAGACAATCACATGTTCAATGTTGCCCAACTAAATGTGGCTGAGCCAGGGTCAGAATACAGGCTAATTTCTTTTTGAAGCCTAAATTCCTCAAAACTCCATTTCTGTTCATATGTGGACAGCTTTTTTTGTTTCTGGCTGTTATTCTCCAATAAAACCATGGATGACATAGAGCACGACTGGGCATTAGGGACAGGAGACAAAGGAAACATCTTAATTCAGACAACCGTGAGCCCTTTCACTGGGTAAAGGCCTGTGTCTCAGGCATGATGCTTACCTTCAGGGCCTCATCCTGGCTGCTTCATTTAATAAAACTGATTTAGATGATATTTATACAAAGCATACTTTATGTGAGCAAAGCACATACAGCAATGAAGAAAATAGAAATACCCGGACATAGAGAAATCATAAATTCTATGAGTACAGACAGTAAAAAAACAAACAATACAATGTCAGATGGTAGTGAGTTCTACGCAAAATGAAACACAGTAAAAGATGAGGAACTCACACAGCATATTTATCCTTAGTCAGTGCAGGGAAGACAGAAAAACAAAATAACCATGTCAGAAAACACAGTGAAACTTGGCTTGTTAAAAGAAAACTGCACTTTCAATTCTAAAAAATTAGAACCAGATAGTGATGGTTTTAAAACAGTATAGGTTTCAGATGATCAACTTCAAACAGAAGGACAGGAATCAAAGGGCTCCACTGCCACTCACTGCCCAGCAGAGGGAGGAAATACAGCTTACTTCAAAAAAAGAAGCAAATCTTATTAGCAACAGGTTAAATATAAACTGGGACACTGGAAAAAGAAAGCAAGATCACATAGAAAATAAAAACAGTACTAACAGTGGAAAAGATGAAGACTTTACATTTCCATTCTGGCATAGATTTTAGAAGTCATCACACCCATCCTCACTCCAGAAAAAAGCTAAACTAAGAATATCAACCACTCTTCTTAGATCCATCAAAGAATTGAGGTTACAAGATAAATTCTTGATCTAAAAATTGGAGAGACAGACAAATACAGAGAATTACACGTTACAGTAGCAAAATCCCAAGAGAAGAAACCACTGCTGGAGCCAGCACTGGGGCAGAAAAAGATACAACCGAACTGATGAATAACATGAAGCTCAGTCTAGATCTGCTTGAGTTAAAAAATAAAATAAAAAAAAAGGGGTGCCCAGTCACAGTGAGGACCCTGAACATTCCTGAGTTTTACCTCCAGGAGCCCTAACAGGCCCTCATGCTGAAGAACACAGAAAAATCCCCTTATGCTTCCAGCAGGTGAAGAGAAAAAGCAGCCATTTGGAAACATGCCTAAAGCATTCTGTTCTTAATGAGGCTTTCCCTTAAAGGAAACTAGTTTAACAGAGCTCTAACCAATTGCAAAACACAGACTTGACCTACAGAAGAGTGAGATTAAGATGTATAACAGACTTGTCTTCACAGACTAAGTGACCTGGGGGAAGAGAAATACACAATTCCAACTATATCTAGGATTCCTGTCTCATCTAAGAGCTAGGAGGAGCTAAAATGGTCACAGTTCAGGAGAACAAGCTCACTAAAAGACTGAAATCAAATCATAGGACTATAGAATGCTCTTTTCCCCCTACACCTTTATCACCGCATCAATAGGGCTCCTGTATAGTAAACGGGGATTAAAACTGAAAAAAACTTCAGGTTTAAATCCTTATTTAAGAACTCTCTAGGGAACGTCAAAGACAAAAGGGGAGAGAAATATAAGGAAAGTAGAGGGTATTTTCCTCTTACACCTACAGTTACAGCAAACACAGCCTAACTTCTAGCCAGATAAACATAAAACCACACACAAAAGGCCTATTTACCACAGTCTCTTTTACCCACTACATTATATCCATTTTTCAACAAAAAATTACAAGGCATACTAAAAACACAGCTTGAATAGACAAAGCAAGCATCAGAACCAGACTTAGATATGGCTGAGATTTTGAATTTATCCGACAGGAAACTAAAACAACTAAGATTCATATAATGAGGCCTGCAATAAAAAAAAGTAGAGCACATGCAGGAACAGAAAGCTAATGTGAGCAGAGAGACGGAAACAGTATAAAAATCAACAAAAAAAGGTAGAAATAAAAAACACTGTAACAGAAACAAATAATGTCTAATGGAATCAGCAATATATTAGACAGGATTGAGAAAAAAAATCAGTGAGCACCAAGATATGTCAACAGAACATCAAAAACTGAAATGCAAAGAGTAAAAAAAAAGAGGAGCAGAATATCCAAGAACTGTGAAACAAAAGGTATAACAAGCATAATGAAAATACCAGAAGGAGAACACAAACAAAAATGAATAGATATTTGAAATAGTGGCTAAAATTTTACAAAATTAA